TAGGTAGAGATAATTGATTAAATGTGGGGGATATTTTACTTGGATTATTTTGGGGGGGGGGGGGGGGTTTGAGTCATGTGTCCTCAGGTTAATCCCGGGCCGCTTTTAACCTACAATGCACACACAAGAGGAAGATGCAGAAAAAGATATTACAGTAGATATTATAGTATATGTTCTTCCCCCCCCCCCGCCCATCCTGGCAATTAAATGAAAGTAAGAGAGAACATCTGGAGAAAAGGTTGGAAATTTGCTGACCTGAAGATGATTTCACTTTTTTTTATCCATCCACCCACTTTCGATACCGCTTGTCGTCATCAAGGAAAAGTACATTTTCTCCGATTGTCTTCCAAGATGAATACATCTAAAAATGGACTATTTTCACATCCAAACAAAATAAAGGGAGAAAATGACATGGCAAGATGAGGCCTGAAGTTGGCTTGCTTGAAAACGATTCCAATGTACAGTAAATATACAGTGTGATTAAAAAACAAAAAACAAATCATCCATTTGAAAATATTCCATCACTGATGGATTTCTCTTCATTCATTCACGTTAAAAAGGTTGATTTGGCACATCCGGCCTCAGACTACACAATAAAAGCCTTAGATTTGGTTTCATAAATTACAAATTAAAAGGATAATTGTTCACATTGATTTCGAAACACACTTCTTGGGTCAGACATGGTCGAGTCGTCCCGAAAATAACACGAGTACCGCGATCTCCCACAAGATGGCGCTGCTCGCCTGCGAATTTTAAACCTATGACGTAATGCTCAAGGAACTACAAGGTGAGTCAAACCACAGCGGAAAATACGTCACAAACAACAAATTGCGGGAGAAGAACACATATTCGATCGAAAATAAATGTTTTTTTTCCTTCAATTAAACAATGGATTATTTATATCAGATGTGAATTGTGTTCTTATTGCCGCACTGGTTTAAAAATACAAGGCTTTTCTCGTCAAACGAATTACATCGCGTTGATTTCGTCTGAAACCTGTAACCTGTTTAAATTCGTCAGAAAAGGATTTGTTTTGTAAAAATTCATATTTTTCAAACTAAAACAAATTAAATACCTATTTTACTGTTCCAAAAAGGATTGAAAGTCAGTTGTGGCCTGCAAGGGCACACAGTCACCAACATTAAAAGAAAAAAAGACCAACAGTTTCGTGCAGGTTAATAAGCACCCGCAGACTAAAATGTCATAGAAAACAAATAGGATTTAATGACAAAAAAAAAAAAAAAAAAAAAACAAGTAGAAATTGTGCAATTGTCGATTTGTTTTTTTTTTTCCCCCTTGTCACAGATTTCAGGTCGATACGTGTTTTGTTTTGGTTTTGTATTCGTTACCTCCCTGCAAGGCAGAAACTCAAATTCAGCATTGAGGCCACAAGAGAGGATTCAAATCGGTTGTTGAGGGGAGGGGGAAAAAAAATCCCCACGATGAAACCACTTTTAAATCACGACTCTTATAAAAGATTGCTGGGAAAAATTCTGTTCATACATTCAGAGAGCTTCGTTGTACGTCAACACAGGATGAAAAGAGCAAAGTGTGTCCTCAAGCTGCGTCTGAGTTTCCACATTTGATGCAGGAAAATTCAAACCTACATGCTAGCCACCCCCCCCCCCACCACCAACCTTGTCCTCATCAGGTAAGCTTATGGAAATCACAGTAGCACAAGAACACGTGTGTGCGCGTGTTTGTTGGCACAGACTGACAAGTATTCAAAACGAACTGTGTATATACACACACACACAAATAAAAATAATAATAATTTTAAAAAAAAATGAGGTACATCCCACAAAGAGTCTGGGTGAAAGTATGAGTCATACAGCTGGTATATGTTATTCAGCGTGATTTTAAATTACTATTATTGTGTGTGTGTGTGTGTGTGTATATACACACACACACACACACACATACAGCTGGTATATGTTATTCAGCGTGATTTTAAATTACTATTATTGTGTGTGTGTGTGTGTGTGTGTATACACACACACACACACACACACACACACACACACACACGCTTTATCCTCACGAGGGACGTGTATATAGTTTTTTTTTTATGAATGTCCTCCATCTTCATAGGAGAGGAAGGCATAAACGGGATGAATTGCTTTTAAAGAGTCTCACAAAATTGTTTTTCTCGCATGGTTTTTTTTTTTCCCTTCTTACAAAAAAAAGTACATAAACATCAAAAACACCGCACACAAAGAAAAAGCTTTAAGGTCTTTCCAGTATTATTATTAGTATTATGATTATTGTTATAATTGACCTTCATCGTTATGTTTATTACTGAATTGACGAATTGCTGCGAATGTCACAACGATCGTGTCACTTGTAATACTGTATTAATGTCGTACCTTTTTTTTTTTTTTTTTTTTTTACAAAAGTGACAAAACGTCAAAAACTGTTTGGTACGTTTAAGCAATTGTTTATCGAAAATGAATACAAAATAACCGTATTAAAATATGGTAGCAATCGTCGGCTGATAATGCCAGTCAAGTCCTAATAATAATATTACGAATAATGTTGTTGCTGGCTCGTGACCAATGAGCAGGTGCGATATTTACATTCACCATCGAACCAAAACGAACCTTTAAATAAGAGCCACAATAAATAATACAAAATAATTTATCGCCGTAATAACAATAATAATAATAACAATAATACTGCTGTTGCTGGCTTGGAAATGTGAGCGAAAGAGCAGGCAGGTGTCCGCAGCTGTTCGAACCCCTGTTGCTTTTGTTCCACGCAAAGATGGCGTTTATTTACCCACTTTGACTCACTGCGGTTCATCCAGCCCACGCGAGAACAACCCCCCCCCCTGCACCCCCTGACACGTCCACAAAACGTTGCCTTTCTTCGTGTGTGTGTGCGTGTGTGTGTGTGTGTGTGTGTGTGTGTGTGTGTGTGTGGCACAGTGACGCACAAAAGGCGTTTGCTTGGCTCCCACGGCAGCGTGAAGCACGTCCCGTAATAATAATGAATAAGAAGGAGAATATATCCCATAACAGTGGCTGCGAAAGGAGCATCCGTCAACATCTGCTGCTTTTGACGCCTGCGCTGTAAATTCCGCTCGTGTCCTCGCAACGTTTATTTTAAGG